AAAGTTTATTATTAATTTCACTTGAAAACACTTGTTATTACAGGAGTTATTGCAATTATAGGAGTTTTAGATGCGTAGTGTTTATTCGATTTGTATCAAAATTTTTATGCTGCAACGCTATTTCAGTATCTAAACCATCACAACTATAAACTCGCGATTTTGAGCTGAAGAAATAGCATAGTTTCAACGATGTATTTTTCCACCAAAATATACTGTAAAAGATTAACTGAAAAATAACTTTTTTACCATCAAGTCATTTGCCCCAAATTTAAAATATTTTTTTTCTTTAATTATAATTTCTCAACAAGTATAATTTTTCCTATTAAAATGTAAGATCAAAGAATGGATTTCTTTGAAAATGCGACAATCTAACCAGTCGACAGGCAATGCAGAACAAATACAGTAGGGTTCAGCAATGAAAGCGCGGAGCTCGTAGAAGTGCAAAATCATCGAGGTATCGTAGCTACGCGATATTCGCGTACAATGCAGCGAGCGCCGCGTTGAGCGGACAATGGTTCTTTTTTCGTTCGAATGGGAACAAGGGCGAAGGGAGGAGAGCAGCGTGGCGTGCGGCGCTAAAGGGAGGACCGACGCGCGTGTACGCGGTACGTGGTAACGTAAATCATACCTCGAAATAGATTCGAACGGTCGCTCGTCGTAGATATACCGGGTGTTCTAAAACCAATGGATATGTTTTCAATGATGACAAAATTTCTTATAAATTTGGATAATTTTTCATGGAGATAATATGGAGAGAAATCATTATTTATCGTACTTTTCCAATTTTTCATATATGTATATATATCTCTGCAACTAACAATAAGCTTCAAATTATAATTTTATTATCTATTACTTCCCCGAAAGTATCTAATTTGCAAAAAACTTTTCTTTTTCAATAGCTTACAAAATTATCGGTGTTTTAATAATAAAAAAGAATTAATTTTAAATTAATTAGAAAATATATCATTAAAATGATAAAATATTGTCAATTTTGGGACACTCTATGTATTGCGATGACGGTACACCATAAACGCCCGAACACAAATCCGATTCGCTCCGAAATCTTATCTAAGCGCGCTACGTTAAACTCGTGTTGACTCATTTTGTATTATGATTACGCGCACATTCATGATTTTCAATATAGCATACTAAATTTTATATCAAAATGCGATCAATGAGGATTCTATTATTAGTTATATTAGTTATTTTTTACGGATTTATTGTATTTTAAATAAATATGTGCAGATTATCTGTACGTATGTCAATTTCATTATTTCCAGCTTCACAATGTTCTACAAAATTTTTTATCGTGTTTCCACAAATACAAAAAAGTAAAATCAGATGCAATGACTTTATTTTATTATTATCGCACGTACGGTACGACCAACAATTGTTAAGAGCGATCTTCCAGATGATTCAATCATTATTTAAACAAAAAATTTAATCGATAAGCGGAATGATTGGATAAATCGTGATAAATACATGCAATGCAGCAGCAATCATTGCGCTTGCAATTCGTTTGCTAAACGAATTTGAAAGGAGTACAAACGTGAGTATTGTCCGACGTTGCTCACATTAAATACGTCGATTTAATTACTAATTAAACGCTGTAAATGAAGTTTAATCAGACAGATGTTGCCATTCAACAATTAATTCATTTACTTTGGCGCGTATATAAATTATTACGACGCCGCGAATTATCGTTATGATTGTGAAGTTTTATTACTTTTACATTATCGAATCTATTAACAGGATCGACCAGTTATGGTTCGGCGATATCATCGACGCGCGCTAGTAAAATGAAAACTCCAATTCTCATTAAATGTCACCAGTTTCAATTAAAATAGAATTTTCAATTTCCAACGGAATATCAATTAGGTACCAATTTTCCAACGGCGAAGTTATACTCGCGCTTCGCTAGTGGAAAATCCTGATTTCGATTCCGCTTTAATTACATCTGTCCAACACTGATTGCCTATTATATACTTCTAGACGTGTCTAACAAGCTCTGAAGCCCACTTTGCGAAGAAAACCATTTAGTTACAACATTCTCGATTTGCAATCACTACATATATTCAACGTTGCTTGTATACTTTACACAATATTCCACACAATTTGATAAATCATGCATGTTCAAGCACAATTAATATACACTATAACATAATTCAATGTAACTTCTGACAAATTAACAAGTTAAATGTAAATTAGATATTCTAAAAAATCCTTTGCGTTCAAAATTTGTATTAAAATAGTATTATTGTATTTAGTTTCCCAAAATTCGAAATGTAAAACAAGAATTAAAAAATCGACTCACTTTTTCACGTTACATTGTAAAAATTATTTTCTTAGCTTTAAATGCTAAACAGGATAATTTCGAAAGTGTAGAAATATGAAGAGAATCGTACAATCTAAAGCTAATAAGAATACGTTTCACTTTTAATCCTTAATTTAGAAGCAAGTTGTGAGCACTTTATAAGATTTCCATAATTTGGCGAATGAATAAAATAATGCCCGCGAGCGATTTCCTCGAACGTAACAGGTACGCGAGGGAGACTGGAAATTTTCCAGGGATTTTTCGCAACGGAGATATTCATTTCAAAGTCTCTCGCGCGCGATATCCTCATTTAATTCGATCTTTTAACCATCCTCTCCGTCTTATTCGACGAGATCAGTGACGCCGAACTTCCTTATATCACGGCTGAATTCTCGACTCCCAATCTGCTCGCAATCTCACCGGGGTATCATTCGGCGGAACTCACTTGAATTCCAAAGCCCTTCGATCTCGTCGCGTTCGAGTTTATCGAGCGGATAGAGTGCCTGTATACGCGTCGTATCCGTTTCGCAATTGTTCGAGTTGCAAAAATTTTATGTGGAAACTGTAGAAACTGCTCGCGAAACACGATATTTGGACCCCATAATAGCCCACCCCGGAGATGAACTTCGTAGTTCACGAACGGTAACCGAACACGTGTGAGAATCGATCGCGCTTTATTTCAAACGCAAGCAATTTTCTCATCCTGTATATTCTGCACGTTACATTCGGCATATGTTTTTACAATATGACATTAAAACTGAATGTCGAATGGCAATTCGCAAAATTCTCAAGATTATCGTTTTCAAAAGAAATGCTTGACCGCATGGCAATGCAAAAATATCATCAATACAGGGATTGTCAAAATTTGTAAAAAGTTGCAACGCAATTTTAGAAACCTTTCACTGTGTGTAACATAAACTACAAAAAGAGCGGAGAAAAAAAGAGAATGTTGCAATCTTTATCGAGGAAAGGCGACACGTGGGTCTAATTAACTTCGTGTCGGTTCTAAGGATTTAATCCCGTAGAAAACCGTTTCCGTGTGCAATCGGAGGAGGAAACGTTAAGACTCTGCATCTTTCGCAATTCCGTGAACCGTTTCCAGACAAATTGAAGATTCTCGAAGAAAAAGTAAAATAAAGGTATGGATTTAATCTTCTGCTGCTACTATGATAGTGAACGGTAAATTTTTCTTGAAAATAAATGAAAATGCGATTAGATATCGTGAAACACGATCAAGATTTCCAGCATTTATAATAGTTTCAGATTATTTTATACTAAGAAACAAGATTAATGACTAGAATAAAAGTAATTAAATAAATGACATCGACAATGATAAACCTTCATTCCAAATTAAAAAAGAAAAAACCGAAATAAAGATATAATTAATTACGAAAAAGCGACTTTTTATTGGATATGGACGGATATGGACGACCGCTAATTACATAGAAATTATTTCACTCAATTATCGCAGATTTTGCTGCAGCTCGGTTTTGACGTACGGTCAATGCAATAACATGATACGATAAAAAAAAAAAAAGAAAAAATTGGGAAAGATATTAAAAAACTTATATCAATAAAATAGTTCCGCATTAAAATTTTGCGTAATTCAACGATCTGGATAAAATTCAACTCGAGCATCATAACGAAGGAAAGTACAATTATTATTATAACGAGATTTCTCATTTTTTAATTCTTGTTAGAATGAGATCATCTCGATTATTTCTTAATTAGCAATTATATAATTGTTATCTCAGTTCTGTCAAATATTAACAACGTTTCGCGCAGTTATTTTGAAGGAAATATTCGATAATCACATATATAATTGCTGTAAAAACAACACGCATCGCATTTTAATTACGTAATATATAAAATAATAAAATATATTTTATAAAAACAGTTGAATTGCAGTCGGCAGTGGATTAATTTATAACAATGCATAAGCAAAATTGTTTCACAAATAATTAGCCTTTCAATATGCCCGTCATTTTAGCGTCAAGAGAGAAGAGGGATTGTGCAGATCGCAACTCGCAAAGTGACACTTACTGCTTGTCGACGAATCAACTAAAAAGTAATTACAATCCATGCGCGAATTTCACAAATTTAATATTCAGCAATTTGTCCAACGCCGGTTGAAACGCGACATGTTATTTTCGGACAGTGTGAGTTCCCCAAGCTGTACAATTACTCGCTCATCGCTTCTCCGCGATTAACTGCTTAATTTATCGCGACGATGAGTGAAACGTTTGAGCACGGTCATCCCGATGATAGTTACGTAAAACGGATAGACACGTTAGAGCTCGAGTAAAGATAATTTATCGAGCACTTAGCCTCTACGGTGACGTCATTTCTCGGACCGCGAGAGATCATCTATCATTGTGTGCAGCCAGACAATCGTGGATCAGGATTTGCTTTCACGATTAAAACGGTTCATTAGGGTTGAAGTAAGACGAATTGCCAGTCGACGGCACGCGATCAATATACTCGTTTAAAAAGTCACGATTTAACTGTTCGTTTAATCGTTAAATTGCTCTAAGAGTGTTATTTGAACATTAATTTTGTTACGATTTCAATTACGTGAAAAATCGTTTAATATTAAAAATTATATATAAAATTTCGAGAATGGTACTTACAATATTGTAAGGTTTGCATAAATATAAAAAATAGAATTTTTTACATAAATACTCACTTATATTCTTATCCCTGTATTGCGGCCGCACATCGCCGATGAAACAGACGAGAAGCACCCACACTGCAAACCAACACGTTCCCATTTCGACCTGAAATAAGAAGCGACGTTCTGAATGGATTTAATTAAGAATTCAGTGGCACAGCGCACTGCACTTTGCAGTTTCTTTACGGCTGCAACGTTACCGCAGTCTTGCACGATGTTTTACTCTTAAGCAAGGCCATTACGACGATGTAGCAATGACGTAACTCAACAATTTACTTAAATATCTTAACGAAACAAATTTAATTATGCGTGAAATCAACGTCTAACCAATCTTGATTTAATAGCATGCATAATTACATTCTTAAAAACTTAAGAAATACCAAAGTCTTGGAAGCGTTTGCTTAAAATTTCAGTTAACGTAAAATAAAACATTTGGAGCGGGATCAATATAACGCAGATTTATTCACAATAAATTCTAGTCGCTTTTGCTCGCTCGGAAGAAACGTCGTCGTTTCCTTACGAAAACTTATCGTTTTCCCGTTGCATCTCTTCCGATCCATTATTGTACTTGTTCCGACAAAGTTGCCACCCACAAAAGGACAAGCGTTTTAATTTATAAAAGTTTCAAATTTATATCTCTTTGTGTCTGGGTATTTTACAATCTTAAAATCTTCGGAAAACACGAAACATTTCCAATAGACATTTGCAATATCGTTCAACTGTTTCGCAACTTTTAACACGATAATTTCTTCGTAATAATATAAACGTTATACTAAAAGATTGTCATTGTGCAGTTTCGTACAATTTTAATCTTGTCACCGGAGAAAATGTATTCGCTCGCTAGATCGAAAAGATATGACGGCCGCGTCCGCCTTTCTAGAACTATGTCGGATCATCGAGCCATCTCATAATCGCTGAAAAGATAATACTCCTCAACTGTCGAGGCTGGAGAAGATCCTTTGTGGCAATAGCGTGGATAATCGAAAACCGAGAAAGACACGGAGCGTAGAATCTGCGGTAGTGGAGCACAGTTGAATATTTCCGGGTTTCCGGCGGATGCGCATAGAGATGTTATAAAATATTTCTTTGAGGATTTCAACTGTGCAGATATTTCGTTCGACAAGCGTTTCCGTGCGGCACGTATTCGAATCTTTATGTCAGTTTCCGCGAATATTATTCGCAAGTTGAGCCGGAACCCAGAAAAGTTCTCTCAGAGAGAGAGAGAGAGACGACGACGACGGTTTTATCCGTAAAATTAACGGGATTTCGTTGTCAGGATGCTGCCATCGGTTTTTGCGCGCACATTTTATCGCCATTTTCGAAGGAATACGCGCCGAATGTTCCTATCTCATTTCACAGCGTAATACCGAACCGTTAACCCGAGAATGTAGATCATTTCTAGGTGACTAAAATCACCCAGCAAAAAAAAAAATTACCGAACCAAATACCATAAAAAGTACTTTAACGATCTTAAATTTATTGCGAATTTGTGTTTCGACTCGCAATTATTATTAGAAAGAACAGATGTTTATATTTCATCAAGTTTGTCAGCTTTCTGGAGAAAAGTAAATAATTAATGCTACGCTTTTATCTTGTAAGAATGGACGAAAAATATAAATATATGTCTATATTTTATATTTCTTTCGTTAAATACGTCCAGATTAATTATTTTTTTTCTTGGGTTGTAGTTCTATTTGTGACACACATAAATATAGTGAGAAAATTTGCTCGACCAAAGTTAGCGTTAAATGATGTTAGTGCAGCGTATCAAATGTTACGACTTAACTAAGTACATCAAAGTGCTCTTAGAGTATACGCCTGCTAAAAGGATATTCTAACAGTAGTTAAGTATATTCTTATATTTTGGTATTAAATGAGCGAAAACACTATAGTATTGCAAAAATACATAATTAAAATAATTTATAGACATTAGTAATAAAATATTACAATAAAATATAATAGTATCTGAAGAGAGTATTTTAATCAGGAAAACGATTCTGAAACGTGAATATAACACCATTTCACAATAGTGGTCGAATAATACTTTCGCTAAAAATACAAGATCAAAGGGACACATATTGTTATCGACATTTTTAAGAACAGTATAGCCATTCTCGCATCTAACCACGTTCCACTCACATACATTTCGTGAACGGGCGAGTTGGAGTGTGTCCGAAGGATAGACATCTCTCCTTGCCCGAGATGGCGGGTATATATCCCTTCCGGAAACTTATCGGAGGAGCTGCCCTTTCCGGAGAAATCCCTAGATGAGCAGCGTAAATGTTCCTATTCTCCACCGAAAGGAAAACATCGTCCAGCGCTCGAAGTGCAGGTTCTCCTCTCGACCCCAGGATCATCTCGACCGAGAGCATATACGAACACACGTAACCCGTGTGCGTACGTATACACTCACACGCTCCCGACAACGAAATGATTCTCGCGCGCCAAGCTGGCAAGCCGCCTTCGAAGATCCTTCGAACCTTCATCGATCACTATATACCTGCCGAAGTCAACTTCTCTACGTATCTCGTTTCATGGTTAGTCGGCTCGAAAATATTCCCTATCCCTTTTCATCGTGGTGGAAAAGGGCGACTTTAGTGCGGCCGTCGAGACGTGAAATTTAGAACCCGCTCTTCGGAGGTAAATAAAACGTATTCGGGTCGTCGGATCCTAGGATTCGCCGACCTCGAGATTACTCTTTTGCCCTTGCACCCTTGGACCTCAATAAAATACGATGTAAGTGCGAATCATTTTGGTCGGCTTCTGAAAGCTGGAATAATGATAGTCTAATTGCTAAAATACATATTCATATGTACTTCACATTAAATATTAAATACGGTAGTTTGATTTTACGTTTCATTTATCTAATGCAAATTTTGTAATCAACGTTATCACAAAGTGAAAACTCAAATCGACAGTAGCAAATAAATTAACTTATAATTGATGTTTTATCAGTATGTCTGACTTGCCAAGAATTAAAAGCGATGTACAATCATTACTTAAAAATACAGAAAAATTATGATAAAAGGAAAATATTAGAAAATGATATTAAAGTAGTTTATAGACAATTAAATTAAATTAATTAATAAATTAAATAATTCTCGAATTAATAGCATAAAAAATTGAAGATATATTCTCTAACATGCATGTTCGAAAAGCGCAAATCTCGGACAATTGTAAAGAACAGAAAAAAGAAGAAATGAATTGGACTAAAGTAGAAGATTGGTGAGACGAATTTCCGCGAGCGACCCTACCATGTCCGGCTGAGTGATAATTAGGGCTTTTCGTCGCCAAAGTATAGTGGGCAGACCAATGCTTCCACAAGAAAATCCTCCAATCGAAGAAACTTCTTTCGTTAAGTAGCTCTCTAGAGATTAAACTGGGTCTCCATTCAACTTGGAGAAATGCACTTTCTTCAGAAGTCAGAAATGATCACACATACCTGCGATATTTATATTCAGCCTTTCGCTATTGAAAATTTAAATGCGTCTAAATGTGTGACATTTATGTGATATCTTTCGAAAAATAATGTAATAAAATCATGTTTTATATTATATAGAAGAATATTCTTTTAATGCTTCCATTTCATTAAAATCTCTATTGATTATTGTGTACACCTTAAATTTGATTTAATTTATTTGAAAGTATCAATTTTTCTCTCATGCGTATATAAAATCATTAAAAATGTTTTATATAAATTTATATACATACGTAACATTTTAAGAAGTGTTAATTATTCCTAAATTGAGGCAGCAATAAGTACGAATTTCGCAAAGTTTAGAAGCGAGTTCGCTAACTTGGGCTAATGCGACCGTAATAAGTGATGACATGTATAAAACAGTAACCATGTGGAGTAAGCAAAGAAAGGTAAGCGGCAAAACCCGACAAAACACGTCTAATGCGCTTTCAAAACTGACAACCCATTTACGAGAGGTATAAGATTAACAAACAAAATTATAAATATCTATTTTCTACACAATTATATAAAGACAATGTTATTTGCTTTATCAAACTATTGACAGACTTTAATTAAATTTATCACTTTAACAAAATTATTCATTTACTTGCTTTATTACAATCAAAAGTTTCGCTCTTACAATTGTACGAAATGGTAGTAAAATATCAGTTACTGAAAATAAGCTCCAAAGAATTTCCTCGTCAATCGTAGGATCAAAGGGTTATTAACAACGAGAGAGCGGTAATAATCGCAATAAATAGCGGCGATATTGTGGTGGAACAAATATCCGGAAATGTCTTTCCCGAGCTGAGCGATATTAAAAATTATTAATGACGGTCTCGACAATCTTCGTTTCCCCTTAGCCCTGCGGAAAAACGAGAAATTAAGGAACGCGCAAGTGGACGGAAGGATAAAATTAGAGAAAGATGAAAGTTTAGTTCTCTCGAAGAAAGTTTTTACTTTGCCTCATTGGGTATCGCGTAGTTGAAACACCTTCCCCGAATGTCCGCGCACTTGGTTCGCCACACTTTACCCCAGTTCTCATTATTATCTCGCTACTGCCGTAACGTCATTCTTAAGCTTCGCTATCGTCCGTCCACCGTGTCGTTATTGCGCGCCGGAAGCGACGTAGCGTAGAGTATAAATATTAAACGACTGCGGATACCGAATAAGGGAGAAAAAGGCGAAACAACGTTCTACATTTTTGCGTCGGTAATCGTCGCAAGCTCGGGAGCTCGTAGCGATAAACGCGGAAGTGTTTATATACGATAGTATCAGTACCCTTTACTTTCAAACGGAAAATCGTAAAGAGGAAGGTATAGAACGACGAAAGTAGAAGAGATTCACTAGAGACCGATATGGGATGAAACATTAAGATTAGCTCTATCAACACGAAAGCGGAGAAGATACGGAAATCCTAGTGAGTTTATATAAATTTTTTATGTTTTTTATATTTCTATTCTCTGCTCTTAAGATATATTAATCAATACAATTGCAGTAATTTGATATTTTAAAGCAGAAACACGTCTAACTTTGAGAACTGTCGATTTCAACAAATACGTGACATTTTTTTCATAAAAATCAACATGATTTACAGCATCAAAGATTGAATGTATCAAAATGATATTGATTTCAATTTCTGTTTCACG